GGCCCGCCCCTCCCCGCTGGCCTTATGGTTCTCCAGCCCTGGTTCCGGCGGCAAACGAGCGGGAGGGCTCGTTCACATCCTCCGTGCTGCAGGCGCGCCCGGGCTCCTGGGTGGCACGCGGGATGCGGGCTCCTGGCACAGGCCTGGTTTGACCAAAGCTCCCGCACCCGCTGGAGCCCTGGGCAGGACGTGCCGCTCACGATCTGTGTCCTTCTCTGGAAGAGGCAGTGATAACGCTACCGAGCTGGTGTTAGACGGGGCCTGGAAGCCCTCGCCAGCCTGGGCACAGCCTCCCTAGGGCTCCGTAACTGGAGCCTGTGTGGACGTCAGTGCATCGGCAACGGACAAAATGCACCAACAGAGGACTGCTACAGAGAGAGCTCTTGCAATTCAATAAAAATCCAGCGCTCTGATAGGAAACACAAGGCAAAATAGAAACGTGATGCTATTTTTTTTTTTAATTCATCTTTATTGATTTCAGAGAGAGGAAGGGAGAGGGAGAGAGAGAGAGAAACATCCATGATGAGAGAGAGTCATTGATCGGCTGCCTCCTGCACGCCCCCAGCTGGGGATTGAGTCAGCAACCCCGGCATGTGCCCCGACCAGGAATCGAACCGGGATCTCCTGGATCCTAGGTCGATGCTCAGCCTCTGAGCCACGCCAGCCGGGCAGGTGATGCTATTGATGGGCAGTTCGCCAAAAGATAAATGACACCCTGATGGCCAGGCTGGCCTCACCCTGATCAAAAGAGAATGTGAGTCATGAGAGTGTTTCCATTTCACTGGACAGTCCCATAGTCCCTGTGATGGGGAAGGGGGTCGGGGAAGGCACTGTTACTGAAGCCAGTTTGGCCAAATCTACCTGAAAGTACTGTGGCTGATACTTCAGTCCAGCGACTCCCCCCTCTGCTGGATGTTCACCTATGAACACATCTGCCTAAGTCCACAACTCCGGGCTTAGCAGGGACAGCCACTTTTCCTGGGCTGTCTGTAGGAGCAGCCGCAGGTGCAAAGGCCCAGAGGTCGGAAGGTTGCCTTGGGGAAGAAAGGCCTGTGCCCTCCTTCCCGCCCGCACCACCTAAGGGTGAGGGAACGGGGACGTGCATGGCCAGACCCCGCCACAGTGTATCCCACAGCCCCCGGGGCGCGGGAGACGCTCTGGTCAGGCCCCTCAGGCCGAGCGCCCGCTCCACCCACCCCACCCCGCAGCCCGCACCCCGCTCAAGCTCTGGTACTTGCAGGGGGTGGGGGGTGGGGGGCTTTTCGAATGAGTTGGCGAGGGCGGTAGCCCCGGAAGCTTCTCGGATATAAGCCGCAGGCGGGGCCCGGGGCCTTCCTGGAGGAGGAGGCGGGTGGGGCGCCGAGACTTGGAGAGAATTCGAGTCCTACGTAGCTTGCACGAAGCCAAGGGGAGCGCGGGAGGCGGGGCGGGCGGCGCCGAGAAAC